TAGACCTCACACCACCTGGCACAATGAGCAGAGTATAACTTTAAGCAGAAAACCAAGAAGAGACAGCGTGGACCCTGATTTGCTGGGAAAGACTCCCAAGGTCCTTGTGTATACTCTGCTGAAACAAGGAACAAATGGAAAAGAGAAAATAAACTAGCTGTTTTGACTGCACTGAAAGCTGACCATGAAGAGACTTTGTGATGAAAAACCAAAGTGTGCAAGCTGGGAGCTATGCAGGAGAAACTGAAAGTTCAGGCATGGCAGGGTTAGTTCTCCAAATATAAATAAGTTCTTTGGGCCTCAGAAGATGGGGCTCCCTCAATACTGAATATATCCTAAGGATGGAGCCAAAATGCCCAATTAGGGTCATCCCAAAAGATAGGAAACCTCATGTTGAACTCCCTATTTATTCCCCCTCCACCACCTCCACTGATGAGGAGAGAATGCTGGCCCTTGTTGATACTAGAATTGACTGTACTTTAGTCCATGGAAACCCAGACCAGTTCCTGGGCTGGCTGCATATATAAATGGCTATGGCAGCCACACAAACAAGGCCAAACCAATGACTGTGACCTTAGGTATTGACTGGTTGGCTCTTTGGCCATACATGGCTATATATGTTCTAGAGATGGTCATTCTGGAAAGGCTGACAGCCCTCTAAGCAGCTACCAGGGAATTCAGACTGTTAATGGGAATCATGAAGTTGCTGGTAAGTGGCTATCTTCATCAGTCTGCAAAAACTTCCAGTCCCAAGAGGGGTGATCCATGTGTAGCAATACCAGTTGCAATACTCTGCTGATACATGGGTAACAGATAGCCCTACAAGGACCCCATACAGACAATGCAGAAACCAGATGAGATCTGAAGAATGACTATGGAGAGCAAGTATGCTGCTGTACCATCTATCATGGACCTGATGGACTAATTGATCCTGACTTGGGGTTGATACCACTATGTAATAGACCAAGAACAATTTGCTTTCACCTGGGGTGGACATATTGCTCCAGGGATATTTGTGTAGTCACATCATTTGTTATGCCTAGTCTGATGACTTAGGACTTGGTGTCCTGACAATGACCTAATATAGTCACTTTGTATCATTATCTCGATGATATTGTGCTAACCTCTGATTCTCTTACAGATTTGGAATCTGTGACTATAAATCTGAGACCTGCTCTTGGAGTTGCTCTAAAATCCTGGGGATAAACAAAGAGTAACTCCAAAATACAAGGGCCTAGGTTTTCTGTTCCAAAGAGGGGGGCACTGCATAATAGTCCTCTAACAACAGAGTTATAAGAGGTCTTTAAGACCAAAAAAATATGTGATAATATAAGATATGGGTACCCCCAAAAGATAGATGCCTGGTATACCGATAGTTTTAATAGGGGGTCACAAGTCACATGAAGAATAACAACAATGTAACTGTCCATTGATATTTGAACAAAAACAGAGGTTGGCTTAAGCAGCCAGTGGGCTATATTAAGAGATACATACAGCTTATAGTCATAAATAATGTCCTTCACACTCCATCTATGTACTAGATTTGGAGATAGACCATTGATCCCTGTGGGAGCATCCCACATGGGAAGACCTTTTGTTCTAGTTTGTTTCTCCATTGTTGTGACAAAATACTCTAACCAATACCAACTTGGAGAGGAAAGGGTTTATTTTATCTTATATCAGGTCACAGTTCATCAGGGAGCCCAAGGTAGGAACTCAGGGCAGGAACCTAAAGGCAGGAGCTAGAGCACAGGCCATGGAGGAACACTGCTTACTGGCTTGCTCCCCTGGCCCATGCTCAGCTTGCTTTCTTATGCAATACAGACCCACCTGCCCAGGGGTGGCACCACCCACAATGGGTCGAGCCCTCCCACATCACTCAGCAACCAAGAAGATGCCCCACAGACATGGCCACAGGCCAGTCCTATGGCGGCAATTCCCTAATTAAGGCTCCCTTAACCCAGGTGTGTCAAGTTGACACTAAAGCTATCCAGCACACCTTTGATGTCTAATACTAGGCCTAAGAGCCCACAAGCCCCAAAAGCCTTGGAAACCTACAGAGCCTAGAGAGCTATCAATAGGCCTGAGAGCCAATAGGGCATGAAAGTCTGGAAAACCTACAGAGCCTGAAAGCCTGAGGAATCTACAGAGCCTAATGAGTTAATAATGGGCCTGAGAGCCTACAAAGCCTGAAAGCTTAAAAAACTTACAATCTAAAAATCTACAAAATATAGAGAAATTTGTTTTCTCTACTGCTACTGTGGATTATGCGCCCAAATAACACCCCTGTGAACCTGCACTGATAAAGCAGCAGTTATCTAAAAGGGAAGCTTATTTCTATCACCCCAGAAAGTTCCCTTGTACTTCATTCCAGTTAGTCCCTACTCTCACAGGCAGTCAGAAAGGGACCACGGCAGAAGGGAGAGAAGAAGCTCTAGAGAGGGGGATAGTAAGAGACAGAGGGAGAGAAGAAATGAAATTTTAATATTCACATAAAGTCTTATACAAGAAAATTAGCAGCCACTTCATTAACAATATTCCAAGCTAAGAAAATCCCTGATAAGACAAATTCTGCTTTTCCTTTCCCATTTCGTGCTGACTGTACAGTTTCAATAGAGAACAAAGCTTTTGATGAGAGCAGAAATCTGGGAGAAATCTGAAGGAATGGGTTCTCAAAACAGATCAGGTCTCACTCTTGATTTTAATGGATGATAAGAGTCACTCTATTTTTGTTCAAACATCACCATAATGTGGAATCACAATGCCACAATAAGCAGTTACTATGTTTGTAAGGAGAGTAGAAACTAGGCATATCAGGGCCAATGTTGAGAAGAAAATAATTCTTCATACACATACATAGATGATATTACGCCTCTCAGAAATCTCTATATATGTACATACGTGTAGTCAGACACCACATTTTCTTCCCATAGCACCACCCTCCCTCCTCCCACCCATTTTCTCCCCATCTATTATGATGAATTGGTGGCTGTCAATCCAGCACTGTCTACTTGTCATTCCTCATGACCGCCCTGAGCCTGCCCCCACTTCCCTGTCTAAACACCGCCACAGACCCTTCTCAGTTCTTTTGCTACTCTACCTCTGGGCACCTTTGATCCTTTGACTCAATCTCCATCTTTCCCATCATCTCTTATCACACCTACTCTCTCACACTGTGACCCAGCCTCACTATTTTCTTTCTTCTTTTGTACTTACTGTCTTCAAATATTCTCATGTTCCCATCTAAGATGTTGTCTCTCTACCTCCGTCTGTCACTATCATGTCATTTTGACAAAGTCTGACTTATCCTTCAGGGATGCCTTTAGAAGTCATCTTCCCGGGGAAGCCTGCTCCACTCTGAGCTTAGATGAGCTCTCCTCATACCCTGAAATTGTTTTATCATAGTGGTTTTCATGCTGTACTACAATTGTATATCTTATTTCTTGTATCTGCTACTAAACTGTAAGTTTCTTGAGGACAAAGGATCTACCTGCTACATCTACTCCCAGGACTTAGTGCCTTCTACAATGTAAGCTCTCAAAACTACAAATGGAATGAATGAAGAGCCAAGCAGGCCTTACAACAAGAGTCTACAATATCTCAGATATTTTGGAGATATGAAATACTCTGCATCTCATTAAGGCATAAAAATGCTCAAAGATAAATCATTTTTTAAAAAAGATTTTTTTATAGTTATTTTTTAAAATTATGTGTATATATGTGTGTTTATGTGGGTTTTGTATGTTCATGGAGGGGCCCACCTAGTCTCCAAAAGGGCTTCAGATCCCATGGAACTAGAGTTATAGGGGTTGTAAGCCACCCAATGTAGGTGTTGGGGGAAAAAAAAACGGAGCTCCTCTGGAAAAGCAGTGCTTGCTCGTAATCACTGAGCCGTCCCTCCAGCTCCCCTTCCATCCAAAAAGTAATCTTAAAACCTGCTACCTCATACTTAGGAGTAGACATTTAAGAGGAATTGCACTAGATATACAGAATTTTATAGTTGATAAGTAGACTGATGTTATCTACTGTTCTTAAGCAAAGTATGTCAAAGTATAGGCCACTTTTCACCTACACTGATGGATACATCGTACAACTTGCCTTCTGTCATGCTTTAGTTATTCTTACAGAAATGAAAAAAGGAGTGTGACTGCCTGTCTCCTCAATGAGGCAAAAAGAAGCCTGTTTCAAATTCTCCATGGGCTGATATTTTATGCCCTGAGTGAGGCTGCATTATGTCACACTATGTCTCCTGCAATAGTTGTCACATTATGTTCACAGAGCTTGGTTATGTCACCATTAGCTTTGATTTCTAAGTTCAAAAATTGAGGAACCACACTTTCATAGGGGGCAAGAAGGTGTGACTACTATATGGTATTGCTCATCACTACAACTGATATGAAGAGGACTGTAAGATCCTACAAGAGGTGCTGTCTTTCGGGGGTTTTGTTTTTTGTTTTGTTTTGTTAGAGGCAAGACTTATGTAACCCATGCTGGCCTCAAACTTGCTGTATAGTGGAGGATGACCTTAAACTTCTAATCCTCCTACCTGATATTATATGTATGCAACACCACACCCAGTTTATGTGGTGCTGGAGATCAAACCAGGCACTAGGCAAGCACCCTACCAACTGAGTTATATCCCAAGCTCAGTCTTTGTCATTTGATTCTACAACTTCTGTCTAATTGCAGTTAGAATACTCCTAATATGGTTTTGCCCATAGAAGAGAGGTTATATATAAAGAAGTCCTCACAAGAGTTGCACTAAATTTTCCCCTTCCTGATCTCTTTTGACCCACCCTCACTCTCTCAGGGTCTCGTGGTTCTGACAGATCAACAATCCCGCATAACACATTTTTATCTTGGGTTTCACATGGTTTATATGACAGGGAGGGAGCAACTTACAAAAAGACAGCTTTTCATAACTCATGTGTCATTCAAGCCCCACCCACAGTCTCTGTTAGCTTTCACCCATGCCGTGCCCCATGGACGAACAGTCTCACCCTACTGTCTGTGAGTGCCCCATCTGGCTTCCATGCTCCGAAGGCCACCTCCACAGTTCACCTTGGAGGCCACACACTTCCTGATCCCAGCTCTGGACACAGCGCACCCCTGCCTCTCTCTTCCAATTCTGCTAGCTCTGCTGGTGGCTAGGCTCCACCCCTCTTCCCAGGGTGCCCCAAGCTTGCCCTTTGTCCACGCTTTTCAGAGGAATGAGTAATTTCCAGGCTACAACAAGAAACACAGCAGGTTAGGGAGTCCAGCGACAAGCCTGAGCTGTGTAGCTGTCCTAATTCTAATGTAACTTAGAAGGTAGTTTGTCTTTGGGGTTGGAAGGAAAAGCCTCTAAGTGATGGTTAATCTTGGTTGTCAACCTAACTGGATCAAGAGATGCCTAGAAAATTAAGAAAGCAATTATTTGGGTGTGTCCATGTGCTTCTGCTTGTGGGTCAACAGACTTAAAGGGGGAGATACACCTTGAATGTGGATGGCTCTGGGTGGTAGACTGGTGCCCAGATGGCACAAGGCACAAAAGAAGGAAGCCCTCTCACATGTGCAAGTGCAGTTCTTGACAGGGTATATGTTTTTCTCTGCTGCTATCATCCCTGGACTCCAGACTTCAGTTTCTTCAGCCTTTGAACATGGAATCACACCAGACTCCCTGGAACTTCTAGGCTTCAGACTCAAATTGGGTTTGCATTGTTGGTCCATCATGTTCTGAGGCTTGCACCTTCTTGGACTGAGCAATTGTTGGTTTCTCTGGTTTTCCAGCATGTAGATGACCATTGTGGAACTATCCAGCCTCTGGCCACACAAACCAATTTAACAAGTCCCCTTTTATAATCATAGACACATTTGATTCTGTTCCTCCACAGAGCCCTGGTAATACACTCTAGCCTGTGCCCTGATTGCTGGTTCAGCATATCTACTGACGATGTAAATGCTACATCTTCATGCACTGTACAGATTTGTGTGGGGATACAAATAAGCCTTTTCAGTCTAGGTAGGAGACAGGTGTAGGTAGGAGACAGGCATAGGTAAGAACAAGGCAAAGGCCATGTGTTTACGGCTTTGGCACTGTAGCATGGTGGTTAATTCAGACCCATGTATTGGCTCTGCTGCTTTTCAATGACCAATCTTAGACAAGACATTTAATTAATCTTAATATTGATTTTGAAAGCAAACTAATGATAAGTCACAACTACCTCAAAACAAATTTTAGAGATGAAGTTAACGAATGTAGAACACCTGGCACAGTAAATACCACAGGTTTCTTTTTTACATTTTTATTGAAATTTTTAGAATTTTATACAATTTATTTTAATCATATTCAGACCCCTCCCCCTTTACTACCTCCCTCACCCAATTCATGTCCTCTTTTTTTTTTAAGGCCTATTGAATCTAATTTGTGTTCCCAAATGCCCTTCAGTGTGTGATAATCCCCTGGAGCTTGGTCAACTTAACTAGTTTCACACCCTTAAAGAAAACTGACTCTCCCTCTCCCAGAAGCTATCAGTTGCCAATAGTTCCTCAGCTAGGGCTGGGGCTTCTTACTCACCCCCACCCCCGTGCTGGATTTTGTCTGGCTTGAGCTTAGGTAGGTTTTGGGCATATTGTCATAATTCCTGGGAATTCCTATGCTGTCTGAAAAACACTGTTTTCTTGTGGTCATCCACCAACTCTGGCTCTTAAGATCTTTCTGTCCCCTCTTCCCCAAAGAACCTTGAGCCTTGGAGGCATGGATTTGATATAGGTGTCCCATTCAGGACTAAGCATTCTGTAGTCTCTTATTTTCTGCACATTGACCAGTTGTGGGTCTCTGTGGTAATAGCCCAAGATGGCAGATTTCTTTATTGAATTTTCATTCATGTGTATCATGTACTTTGTATGTACTTTGCTCATATTTACCCCTCATTTCTCTTTTGTCCCTTCCCCCTCCCTTTGATACCCTTCTTCTCAAATAGTCCCTCTTCTACTTTCATGTTTTATATGTATTTTTAAGCATTTTAAATTGGTTTTTTTCTTTTTCTTTTTTTTTTTTTTTTTTATCTTTTTGAGACAGGGTCTCCCTGTACCCCCAGCTGGTCTGGAACTCACTATGTAGACCAGGCTGGCCTTGAACTCACAGAGATATGCCTGCCTCTGCCTCCCAAGTGCTGGTCTACAGTTGTATGCTATGATGCCTGCCTCATTTTAAATTTTTTAATAAATAAAATTTAATTTAAAATTTCAGAACAAGGTAATCATAGCAAGCTCTCATTTCTAAATTTAAAGCTTCTATCCTATCTCTGTATACAAAACTGTTACTGTGAGAGACCCTGACAGTGTCACTGAGAAGCAATGAAGACAGCACACTTCCTCCTTCTACTTGGTCTCTGGCAGGAAGGCCTTGTTTTTAATTCCAACAGAGCCCCTTCCATTGACTTGCCTAGAGTAACATAGACCTGGACATCTCATCATTTGGAGCCATAAACTTTCCAGCAGCCACTTCTTTAAGTTGACCAATCCAAAATTAGGGGAGGAAAACTAGTACAAACCTTAAAACCCAGAGATCCTGGATTTCAGTTTCCAGGTCCCCTCTCCCCTTGTGGAGAGCTTCATCTTTCTGAATGAATGTGTGTGTATATATGTGTGAGTCTTTGTCTGTATGGATGGGATTCTTTATCTTTATCAGAGACTGTTGCTCTCTGCTGGTCTGAGATGTTTTTTCCTGACTTTTAACTCTTTAACTGGCTGAGAAAATGAGCCCAAGAATACCCCTAAACTGACAATGCCAACCACAAGTTACCAATATGAATCTGTGAATAAATTGTGAGAGATTTTCACTTTCCAAGTTGTAGTTCCTAGAATAGCTAATATTTTTTAAAAAATGAAAACCTATTTTATGTTTATGATTAGAAGAATGAAAAGATTTTTAGGAATCTACTAAACCAAGCAACTAGGAGGAAACTCACAGATAGGCTTGAGATTCAGTGTTGAGCCACCTCTGAACTTTGAGGAACACTAACTACAATTTACAAAGTTAGTAATATCAGCATCATACTTGGGCACTGGCAGTCATACTATCGAAAAGGCCATTTCCTCTTTGCTCTAGGGTTTTCTATAGTGTCAGCTACCAGGTGACTTATAAGGACATTAGAAATGCAGGAAAATATTGCCTTACCAGCATTTAAACAAAGTGTTTGAGCTGGGTTCAGTGACTCCTACCTGTAATACCAGAACTCAGGAGTCTGAGGCAGAAACACTACTGCAAATTTGAGCCCAGCCTTGGCTACATAGCGAGTTCCAGGTAAGCCTAGGCTACAGAGAATCTCTCTTATTCTCTCTCTCTCTCTCTCTCACTCACTCGCTCGTCGCTCGCTCTCTCTCCCCCCCTTTCATCATAAAAGGTGTGGGGAGAGGGGCTGGAGAGATGGCTCAATGGTTAAGAACACTGGTTGTTCTTGCAGAAGACCTGGTATCCCAGCACCCACATGGCAGCTAACAACTGTCTGTAACTCCAGTTCCAAGGGATCCGACAGTCTCTTCTGTCCTCAGTGGGCATTGCATTGCAAGATATGGATGCACATACCTACATGCAGACAATGCATGCATACACATAAAATTAAAATAATAAATAAAATATTTTTTAAAAAGGTGTGGGGAGACTGTTTTAAGCCATAAACATAGGAAAGATAAATGAACTTAAAAATATCTAAGAACATAGCATAGAGGAAGAAAAGCAAATTACCAATGAAGGTTAACTTATGCTACCGATAAACATTTCTGAAATAAATTAGGTGATTAGTAGTTTCCTTAGGTATCAAAGGTATAAAAACACTGGCATAATAGACCCCATCAAACCTTGGCTGTCTCTAAGAGGACAGGAAGGGCACAGGTATGGACTAAGAAGGAAGGAGTGATGAGTCGGAAGCTGAGTCACCCTCAGAAACTGAATTTCTTCTGGGCTGTTTATTCCACTTCTCTCCCTCCCTCTCTCTCTCTCTCTCCCTCACCTCCTCTTCCCCTCCCTCCTTTCTTTCTTTCCTCCCTCACTCTTTCCCCATTTCCTTCCTTCATTCCTTATCAAGCTGATATTGGGATAGCTTCTTTTTCCTATAAAGCTTTTTATTTATTTATTTATTTTTTAGCTGTCAAAAGTATAGCTTTATTGCATTAAAAAATTAGCAAATATAGAACTTTTAAAAGATTTGAAGTATAGTCAAGTCAAAACAAGTTTATTTTATCACAGGCTACTTTCTATAAAACAAAGGCATTCAAACTACCTTCTAGACACAAATAATGCATTTTTAAATTATATGCATACAATAAGTATCTTGTGGACCTAATATAACATAAGAGTTCTTCTGATGAATGTTATTGAGAGATACTAATGAATCCTGACCATAGAACAAAATGTGGAATAGCTATGCTCAAGTACAGTTCTTTCTTTGCTCAGAATTTAGAAACGTATTGTCTAAATCAAAACAGCAGATTGTTTTTTGGTTTTTTCTTTGATTTATTTATTTATTTTTTTTACATGACTTTTGGCTACTCTAACATTCCCCCCTCACAAGAGGTAACCCTAAAATCTTTTAAGGATTAGATAAAAACTCCCAAACACTTTCAACATTTTTGTCCTTTGGAATCGAGTAGGTTGTTAAGAGGCCCAAGGACAGTTTGACTTTTAGCCAAGAAACTGGCTACTTTTCTTTAGGGGTCTTTTTACGCTAACTGCCTAGCCAATTCCTACCTCCTATTCTTATCACACCATCCTCTGAAGAGGTTACCCAAATTGCCAATAGGGAATCAGGACGCAGACTGCTCTGGCTTCTTTCATGCTGAACTGGGACTCACGGTGAGGCAATTGGGGTACCCCTTCAGTGGGTCTATCTAAAAGGCTCCCAAATTGCATAACTCTTAGTGTGTAGGGGGAATGAAAGTCCTTGACTGGTGAATAGGAGATGTGAAGGAGAAGTAAAGGCAAGAGTAATTAGCATTACAAGTTCTAGCCAGAGAATTAGAAAAAAGTCAGAACAGGGGAATTTTTTTTTTTAATCTTTTAAAAAAACTTTTTATAAAAAGTTTATTGAGAATTTCATGCATGCATATAAGGTGTTTTGATCAAAT